ATATATATATATATATATATATATATTATACATATATAATATAACTATATATAATATATATATATATATATATATATATATATATGTGTGTGTGGTGTGTGTGTGTGTGTGCGTGTTGTGTGTGTGTGTGTGTGTGTGTGTGTGTGTGTGTGTGTGTGTGTGAGTGTGTGTGTGTGTGTGTGTGTGTGTGTGTGTATATATATATATATATATTTATATATATATATATATATGTATATATATATATATATATATATATATATATATGTGTGTGTGTGTGTGTGTGTGTGTGTGTGTGTGTGTGTGTGTGTGTGTGTGTGTGTGTGTGTGTATGTATGTATATGTATATATAAATATACGTACATATAAATGTATATATAAATATATACATCTGTATGTATATTACACACACACACACACACACTGATAAACTGACAGCTGCACAATAGTTGCGTGTGTATGAATAAATAAATAAATAAATAAAGCTGTCTATCGCCTCATAGCGAATTCTCGCCGCGTTCTACAAAACGTTTCACATTGTTTCGGAAAAACTGATCGCTCATAAACCTCCAAGGAAATTTCGATAATCTGTTAACAAAATGGCGCACTGTATCCCACATCCTCCAGAAATGTAATACACTTACCTATCACCCTAATGAAATCACCATCAAGATTTAAATAAATAAAGAAAAAAAGAAAAGAAAAACACCGGATTACTAGGACTAAACTAAAAAATCTAACACAAAGGCTTGAGTCTCGAAGCCTACAATGTGCCTTGGGACTAGTTTAAGCCGCATTTGGTCCCCGGCGAGCAGGGAGTACAGCGCCCTGACCCTGTCCCGGCCTTCTGCTTTTTTACCGAGGCAAGTCTCATGTGACTTAGTGTTTCCCTGTCTGTGGTCTGGTATGTGGTCTGTGCTGTGGCTGGTGAGGTGGTCTTTTTTTTTTTTTTTTTTTAGCTGGGTTTTGCGAGTATTGTGTTTTGTTAATGTGGTTCCTGTTATTTTTCTGGTTATGATTTTTGTTAGAATTGGTACAGTCGTGATTATCATTATTGTAATTATTGTTAACATAAATGATATAATTTTAAATTTTTATTGGTGTTGTTGCTGCTGCTGTTATTGTTATTATTATTATTTTCATTATCATTGTTATCATCATCATTATCATTAGTATTATTACAATTAATATCATCATGAGGAGGAAGATGAGGATGGTGATGATGATGAGGATGAGGATGATATTGATGATGATAATGATGATGATGATGATACTTATTATTGTCACTAAAATTACTATCACTGCTATTACTATTATTGTTGTTATCATCATCATTACTGATATTATCATCACAATCATTATGATTATTATCATCATCATAATCATTATCGTAATCATTATTATCGTTATTATTATTATGATTACTATTATTATTATCATTATTGTTGCCATTATCAATATTACTTTTGTTATTATCATTGTTACTTTGGTTATTATTATCATTATCACCATCATCATCATTTTTGTTATCATTATTTTCATCAATATCATTATCATCTTAATCATTATCATTATCATCATTATTAGTATCATTATTATAATCACAATGATTACTTCCATTATATTTATTATCATTATTATCAATGTAATTATCATTATCATTATTGCTATCATTGTTATCATTATTATTATTGTTGTTGTTGTTTTGTTGTTGTTTTTGTTATCATCATCATCATTATTATTATTATTACTATTATGATTTTCATTTTTATTGTTGTTGCCGTTGTTATTATTATCATTATAATCATAGTTCTTGTTGTTGCTATTGCCATTATTATCTTTAGCATTATTATCATCACTATCTTTATTTTGATTACCATTATGATTATGATTATAATTATGATCATCATCATTATTATCATTATTAGTATCATTCTCATTAATTATTATTAATATCATTATAATTTTTATTATAACTATTACTATTATTATTGTTTTTATTATTATGATTATCATTATTTGCTATTTTTTATCTTCATAATCATAATTATAATTGATGTCATCCCTTGTATTACTGGTATTATTAAGAATATTATCATCATATCATTATCATTATCGTTATATTTATTATTAATATGATCATTATCATTTTTATCATTACCATTATTGTCATTATCATCATTGTTGTTATTATTATTATTATTGTTGTTTTTGTTATTGTTGTTATTGTTATTGTTGTTGTTGTTGTTGTTGTTGTTGTTGTTGTTGTTGTTGTTATTATTATTATTATTATTATTATTATTATTATTATTATTATTATTATTATTGTTGTTGTTGTTGTTTTTGTTGTTGTTGTTGTTGTTATCATTATTATTATTACTATTATCATTATCATTATTATCATTATCATTATCATTATTATCAGCATTATTAGCATTGTTATTATTATCAATATTATCATTATTATCATTATTATTATTATTATATTATTATATTATTATTATTATTATTATTATTATTATATTATTATTATTATTATTATTATTTTATTATATTATATTATTATTATTATTATTATTATTATTATTATTATTATTATTATTATTATTATTATTATTATTATTATTATTATTATTATTATCATTATTATCATATTATTTTTTAACATTATAATGATGATATTACAATTGTTATTATTTTTTATCATCATTATCATCATCATTAATTATTATTATCATTATTATTCATTATCATTATTATCATTATTATTATAATATTATATCATATTGTTATTTTGTTAGTTTTGTTGTTGATGTTGTTGGTATTATAGTTATTATTATTATCATCATTTTTTTCTTTGTTATTAGTATGATTTAAATAATGATAATTATTATTTTTATTGTAATAATTATTCGTATCATTATTGTCATTATCATTATTTGTCATCACTCTCATCATTATCAATTAATATTATCATTTGTGTAATTAGTATTTTTATAATCATAGTAGTAGTAGTAGTTTAATGTTTTATGCTTATGTTACATTATTTACATTACCATTATTATCATTATTGTTATAGTTAATATTATCAGCATTATCAAAATTGTTATTATTATTTTCAGCATTATCAAAATTGTTATTATTATTATTAGCATTATCAAAATTGCTATGATCATTATCAGCATTATCAAAATTGTTATTATTATTATCAGCAGTATCAAACTTGTTATTATTATTATCAAAATTATCAAACTTGTTATTATTATTATCAGCATTATCAAAATTTTTATTATTATTATCAGCATTATCAAAATTGTTATCATTATCATTATATTTTCTATATTATTAGTAGTACTATTATAATTGTTATTCTTATTATCATCGTTATCATTATCATTCTCACCACCATCATCATCATAATAATTATTGTAATCGTTACTACCATCATTACAATTACCATTGTTGTTGTTATAATCATATTCATCATTGTGGTTGTCATAATAATATGATTTTATTATTATAATTTTTGTGTAAATTATTGTCATTATTATTATAATCATTATTATTGTTATCATTATTATTATTATCATCATTATTGTCATTGTTATTGTTATTATTATTATTATTATTATTATCATCATCATCATCATCATCATTATAAGCGTTTCTATCATTATTATTACTTTTATTATCATTACAATCATATTATTTTTATTGTTATTGCCATTATTATCATCATCATTATGATTATAATTATTATTATCAGTATCATCACATAATCAGAATGTTCATAATCAGTATAATAATAATAATTATTATCATTGTTATTAAAACTGTCGACATTAGTTTGACTAAATATTTACACTATGTTTAACATTTTATCATCAATACAGGCAATAGTGTTAACATGACTGTGAACATCACTGACTTCCATTAGTTATTAGGTTCACGAACAAAAGCCATGGCAGTTTCAACATCAAATTGTATTTCCTATCCAGTGGATAATTTTTTTTTTTTTTTACATCATATCATATTTCGTTAGACAAACTGTTAAATAACACAGGGCACTCTTTGTTGCTTCAGGTTGACATCTTTTTTAGGATGGACTATTATAAATTCTTTTCGGAAAATGCTCGGCATCGTCTTCCATCATGGATCGGTTCTCTCAGTAAGTTGATACAGAAATTCGTGTTTGTCGATAGCGTCTGATTATAAGAGACCTTGAGATTTTCATTCTCTCTCCTCTCTCTTCTCTCTCTCTCTCTCTCTCTCCCTCTCTCCTTCTCTCTCTCTCTCTCTCTCTCTCTCTCTCTCTCTCTCTCTCTCTCTCTCTCTCTCTCTCTCTCTCTCTCTCTCTCTCTCTCTCTCTCTCTCTCTCTCTCTCTCTCTCTCTCTCTCGCTCTCCTCTCTCTCTCTCTCGCTCTCTCCTCTCTCTCTCGCCTCTCTCTCTCTCTCTCTCTCTCTCTCTCTCTCTCTTCTCTCTCTCTCTCTCTCTCTCTCTCTCTCTCTCTCTCTCTCTCTCTCTTCTTTCCTCTCTCTCTCCCTATCTTCTTCCCTCCCTCCCTCCCTCCCCTCTCCTCCCTCCCTCCCTCCTCCCTCCCTCCTCTCTCTCTCTTCTCTCTCTCTCTCTCTCTGTCTCTCTGTTTGTCTCTCTCTATCTATCTATCTATCTATATCTCTCTTTCCTCTCTCTCTCCCTCCCTCCCTCCCTTCCCCCTCCCTCACTCCCTCTCTCCTCCCTCTCCTCCCTCTCTCTCTCTTCTCTCTCTCTCTCTCTCTCTCTCTCTCTCTCTCTCCTCTCTCTCTCTCTCCTCTCTCTCTCTCTCTCTCTCTCTCTCTCTCTCTCTCCTCCTCTCTCCCTCTCCCTCTCCCTTTCCCTTCCCTTTCCCTTTCCCCCCCCCCTCTCTCTCTCTCTCTCTCTCTCTCTCTCTCTCTCTCCTCTCTCTCTCTCTCTCTCTCTCTCTCTCTCTCTCTCTCTCTTCCTCTCTCTCCCTCCCTCATTCATTCTATCCCTCTCATACTCGCCTCACCTTATCATAATCGCATCTTCTTATCTTAGGAAAGTTCATCGTAAATCCAGCGCCGGATATGCTGTGGCTGGCAGGGGGTCTCCCCAATGACTCCATCTTCCCCTTTCACGAAGCGAAGGTCAAGCTGCGAGATGGTCACGTGATCGAAGTGGGTCCTGATCTCATGGCCAAAGGTCTGCAATATGGTGGTCCTGCAGGGTGAATATACGAAATTATGCTTTGTACATTTTCCTTTTCCAAGCACGTATTCTCACTGTCTGTGATTGTTTGTTTGTTTGTTTTGTGAATGTGTGTGTTCCTATTCAAATCAAATACGAGAGACTTTATAGTTTTATGTGAAATATGCATGGATATTCCTCCAAACTTTTATATTAACTAAGTATTCTTAATCGACGGTGTAATTTTATTCCAGGGGGAATCTCTTTGAAGTCGTCACAACCCACCAAGCGCCTGAAACTTTTTTTTAGATATTACAGATACATAACTGATATCGATGAGTTGTATTTTTCTGTTTACTTATTTCGTTCCTTCTCTTACTTTTGGTAAATAATTGTGAAGCCTCCCTCCTAGCGATTCAGTTTCCCATGTGCGCGTGTGTATGTTACTCTGTGTGTCTGTTGTGTTCACATTTAAATACCAGCATTGGACTTTTCGTAAGATGAAAGGAAATAGTTTAAACAAGATGTATGACATTTTCTGTTTTGAAATTTATTTCATTCGACTTTGACATTTATTTTTGCACTTTTGTATTTATTTCATATGCAGACGACTTTGACATTTATTCTGGGACGACTTTGACATTTATTCTTATGCAGACGACTTTGACATTTATTTCATTATGCAGACGACATTTATTTCATATGCAGACGACTTTGACATTTATTTCATATGCAGACGACTTTGACATTTATTTCATATGCAGACGACTTTGACATTTATTTCATATGCAGACGACTTTGAATTTATTTCATATGCAGACGACTTTGACATTTATTTCTTATTTGACATTTATTTCATATGCAGACGACTTTGACATTTATTCATATGCAGACGACTTTGACATTTATTTCTTATGACTTGACAGTTTATTTCATATGCAGACGACTTTGAAATTTTTCATATGCAGACGACTTTGACATTTATTTCATATGCAGACGACTCATATGCAGACGACTTGACATTTATTTCATATGCAGAGACTTTGAAATTTATTTCATATGCAGAACGACTTTGACATTTATTTCATATGCAGAAATTTATTTCATATGCAGACGACTTTGACATTTATTTCTTATGCAGACGACTTTGACATTTATTTCATATGCAGACGACTTTGACATTTATTTCATATGCAGACGACTTTTATTTCATATGCAGACGACTTTGAAATTTATTTCATATGCAGACGACTTTGACATTTATTTCATATGCAGACGACTTTGAAATTTATTTCATATGCAGACGACTTTGACATTTATTTCATATGCAGACGACTTTGACATATTTTATGACGACTTTGACATATCATTATGCAGACGACTTTGAAATTTATTTCTTATGCAGACGACTTTGACATTTTATTTCATATGCAGACGACTTTGACATTTATTCATATGCAGACGACTTTGAATTTATTTCTTATGCAGACCGACTTTGACATTTATTTCTTATGCAGACGAACTTTGAATTTATTTCATATGCAGACGACTTTGAATTTATTCTTATGCAGACGACTTTGACATTTATTTCATATGCAGACGATTTATTTCATATGCAGACGACTTTGACATTTATTTCTTATGCAGACGACTTTGACATTTATTTCATATGCAGGACGACCTTTGATTTTACATGCAGACGATTTCTATGCAGACGACTTTGACATTTATTTCATTGCAGACGACTTGACATTTATTTCATATGCAGACGACTTTGACATTTATTTCATATGCAGACGACTTTGTTTATTTCATATGCAGACGACTTTGACATTTATTTCATATGCAGCGACGACTTATGACTTTGACATTTATTTCATATGCAGACGACTTTGAATTTATTTCATATGCAGAACTTTGACATTTTTCATGCAGACGACTTTGACATTTATTTCATATGCAGACGACTTGACTCATATGCAGACGACTTTTGACATTTATTATGCAGACGACTTTGAAATTTATTTCATATGCAGACGACTTCATTGCAGACGACTTTGAATTTATTTCATATGGCAGACGACTTTGACATTTATTTCATATGCAGACGACTTTGAATTATTTCATGCAGACGACTTTGACATTTATTTCATATGCAGACGAACGACATTTATTTCATTGACGATTTGACTTTCTTATATGCAGACGACTTTGACATTTATTTCTTATGCAGACGACTTTGACATTTATTTCATATGCAGACGACTTTGACATTTCATATGCAGACGACTTTGAAATTTATTTCCGACTTTGACATTTATTTCATATGCAGACGACTTTGACATTTATTTCATATGCAGACGACTTTGACATTTATTTCATATGCAGACGACTTTGACATTTATTTCATATACGACTTTGACATATGCAGACGACTTTGACATTTATTTCTTATGCAGACGACGACATTTATTTCATATTGCAGACGACTTTGAATTTATTTCATATGCAGACGACTTTGAAATTTATTTCATATGCAGACGACTTTGACATTTATTTCATATGCAGACGACTTTGAAATTATTTCATATGCAGACGACTTTGACATTTATTTCATATGCAGACGACTTTGACATTTATTTCATATGCAGACGACTTTGAAATTTATTTCATATGCAGACGACTTTGACATTTATTTCATATGCAGACGACAGTCAGCCACCATCCGGTTTCACTTCCTACAAATGGGCGTCATATCCGTCTCATTATTCCCTCAGTTACGCCCCGCTTCTGAAGCACCTCTCGGACCTGACCCAGCGGCTGCACTCGCCCCCGCGCTGGTCGAGCAGCAAGCAGGTGATCACGGTGGGCGGTCAGGACGGCATCGCCAAGGCCTTCGTCATGCTGACCGACCCCGGCGACTACGTGGTCATCCCTGAGCCTTGTTACGCCGGGATATTCTCGGAGGTAAAGCTCACG